AAAATAAAAAATGTATTCTAAAAATGTAGCGCAAGTGTCTATGGGTTATATTTAAAAGAAATTTTTAAAAAATATTGATTAGAACAAAAGTTATTTCATTTGTCAGAATGTCAGATCTCTTTGGGACATATATATATATATATATATTGATAGTTTAAACTTTAATGCAACAGTTAATATAGCAATTATTTAAACATCATAATATAAAAAGTATTATTTTATAATATTGGTGATATTCACCAGAACCATATTGTGGATTATATATTACAGGCCAGTAGAATCAAGAAAGATTTCCTATTTAAAATCTTTGTTTTTAAATTTTTAATACTAGGTATACCTACCAACAGAAATTATGATACTAAGTTTAGACTTTAAATTGTTAAAGAATTTATATGTTATTAATAATCAGTACATAAACATTAAAAAAATGTCAACAACAATAATATATGTTTGTACAAATTTTTTTTTMACAGTGGCAGGAAAAAGTTAAATCCAAAATATTGGTTAGTTACTACTACTTACTAGTACCTATATAAGTGTTACCTATTAAATTGAATAAAATGAAAGTTTTTTATTTAGTTAGAGTAATTATAATTAATATATTTAAATAACATAATATGAGTATTGAGTATATCTTTCAAAAATTTTGTAAAACCCTAATTTTAAAATTAAATATTTATGATAAGATTGAAGTGATATAATTTTTTTCTCTATATATTTTTTGGTCACTATAATATTTAGCGCATTAATTATTACTTAATAGATAGTTACAAATTGTTGTGGTTACGTGTTGTTTCGTTCATTTGTGACAAAAGTCACACAAAAAAACCTATTGAAATTTCTTCTTATTCGTTCAAATACGTTTTGTTATTAAATTTAACAAGTAGTACTGTACAGTTATGGTGACAATTGTAGTAAGCAACAAACCGTGGTTTACTGTCACCATTGACAAAGCGTAATTTTTGGTTTAATGTTTGGTATTTAGAAATTGAAGAACAGTAATAACGGGGACATTGTTAAGAATACCGAACAAGGAACGATTTCATTTCAATTCAAAAATGGGATTTCTGTAGACATAACTCTCGATGGATCGATCAGAATGGCAAATCAAACTGTAATTTTAAATAAAATATAAACAATTACCTAATATTTTATTATTATTCACGCACCAATTTGAAAAACGATATTTAAATAAAACAAAGAGAACAATATTTCTATACTTATAAAAGATAGGTACAAACTCTTTGACTTTTCAGAGTTCAAAAAATTGAACCTAACCGTACTTAAACAAAAAGTTTGAAATTCTAAATTGATCTGAACTTTAAAAATAAATAAATACACGGTTTTTAATTAGAAATGTTTTATATTTTGGTTTGGCATAAAAATAAAACGTTTGATTCGTAATTTAGTTTAAAAGTGCAGTTCAAATCMAGTTCAGTATTATAAAAAATGTTTGATATACGAGCTTAGTTCAACGTTGATCAAAATTTTTGCTTTGAATTCCACATCACATTGTTCAGTTCGTTTTCAATTCGACAGACGATATAAAAACTTTAGCTTTTTCAAGGCCGTAACTGGAAAATTTTTTTTTTTTTTTTAGCACTTAAGGGAAAAAATTTACAAAATATGGGGGTCCAAATTGTTTTAAAATATATATACTAAACACTTTTCTTTTTACAATTACTCTTTAATACAATTTATAGTTAATTAATTATATTCGCTGCTAAAATGTCTCTACTTTGAAGAAAAATCCCCCCCTTACCACAGTTATGGCCTTGTCAGTTTGAACCCATATTTTTTAGTTCGATCCGCCTCTAAAAATTATTCATTCCGATTACAACTGTTACAGGCAAATGCCGTAGCAGCTGTAAATGCAACCGGTAACATATCGGCCGTCATGCACCCTGTTGGTTTTATGTATAAAAAAGATGATATTGTCCACGTACAGGCAAATGACATTAATTTTGGAAATCACAAGTAAGAACACCTGAATTTTAAATTGTAAGAAAAATATTGGGTTGTTAAGCTCCATAAATTTCCACCATAACAGTAATACTGTAAATCGAACTAAAATATATTCCAAAAAACAGAATAAACAAATCGAATTCTTCATTAATATTTTACTTTTAAACCAACGACTATAACGTGTTATTTTTCCATTGATATATCATATAAATTCCATAAAAAAGGGAATGTTTCAATTTTAAAAAATATTAATTTAATTTTAAAGTCAAATTTCTCATAAGTTGAAATATATTATATAATTCAAACTAATGGAAAAAATCCATCTCTGATCAATTTCGAGAAATTCATATGTATTTGTTTTCAGAAATTTGATGTTAATTTATCAATTATTACTTTTTAGTATGATTTAATTAGCCAAATTGGTCTGAATTCTATAGCTATCCATTTAACTGTTACTAAATATTAATACATAATCCAATTGTAACGAATTACCAATACAGTTTATAAATTATATATAATATGTCTTAACACGTATAAAATGAAACATAGCACATAAGTATTTAATTATAATTTCTGAGTTTAAGGGTATTTAATATACAATAAAGTAGATTAAGAAAATTAGCTGGACAGAAAGGTACCTACTAACAATTTTAAAATATATGACTTTTTATTTTATTTGTAACGAATATACTATATTATATCTACTGATTGTATTAATGTGTAGTCAATGTTAAATAGTTCATAAAATTATTTTTTAAATTATACATTCGAAAAATCTTTAATACCTTTTAATTATTAGGCGGTCTTACCCTTTTAGTTTGCTAACTTCCTTCAAATTTTTTTTATGAGCTTAAAACTTATAAAGCTTTAATATAAACATTTATTCAACATTTTAAGCATCAAAATAGTTGGGTAAAATCAGTTAAAACTTTAAAATTAACTCCGGAAATTTGTATTGAAACCACAACACATAAAATCTTTTAATTTATGATCATGTGTACACCTAATATTCAGGAAACTTTTTTCGCGGCGACAGAATGAGTTTACAGATCTCTTTATTAATTTTTAAAAGATGGAGCTTCAAAAAAATATAAATATTTTTTTTTTTTTTTGAAATATTATCTTTGATAACTGAATATTCAATATTCAGGTTCATCTGTTTGTTACCCATCATCATTTTATTTTTTTTTGATTTCTTGTCGTGATTCTCTTCGCGTCATCTTTTTTTTCTACAATTTTTTTCTTTATTTTTGTTATTGCTATCATTATTTTTTTTTATCTCATTTTATTATTCATAACATGTGATCATCATGTTCATATGTTATATCTATCTTAAACCACTTACGTCTATCTCTTAAAATGTAGAAAATAACTCTAGTATTGGTTGCCATGGTAATAGTTAAAAAATGAAACTTAATTAAAATTTTTTTGGSACAATTTAGAAAGATATGAATTTTTTCAAACCACCATATAAATATACGAGTAATAACATGAGATGATGATGATAATAATGTTTAAAATTATACAAGCAAATTTATGATAAGAATTGTTTTAGGGAATTATTAAGGATTATTGTGGAAGTTTTTTGTTATTATTATTATAATGAATACGTCAACTAATAAATAAAATCCTTTGAAGAAAGTCTTAACACAGAATACTAGAATAGTAATTGTAAAGCTTAATGACATTAGCTAGATCCCAGATAAGCTTAATCCCATTTTTACAACAGTTTACGGCACCTATTACCTACCTATAATATCTAACCCTGAGCATATAGGAAGTACATGTATAATTGTACGTACCTCAATACACGCTTCTTACTTGTCAAACTTTCTCAATGAAAACTCATCACACATCATATGTATACAGTACCCTAAAGAGATTGTGACTCAACTTGAATTCAACAAATTAATTAATATCGATATTTCAATTCAAAGAGCTAGTTATCTCTAGATTGATTATTAATCGTGGTAAAATACCCATGTATCAATACTAATATTTTCTTTCCTTCTTAATGCTTACACTTAAATAAACCTATTATACGTTCTTTATTTACATTATATTGTGATATTATGTCATGTAATATGATATTGTACTGTGCTAAAATAAATATGGGCGATGTGGCAATACTATTCATTGTGTAGGTACCCGAGGAACTACATATATTTCTAGATACACCACTTATCAAAAGTTATTGGGGTTAAGCAGATACATGAGAAAAAAAATTGTAAAAGTGTGATACCCGAACTAATTTACATAATTATAATAATATTGTAATCTATTCGTCCACTGACTGACGGGCATCTATGCAATTTACTCTTGTTTTAATGCTGTCCGTTGAGGTTGGCGAAAATAAAGTCGACGGGTATCCACTTCAAAGCCATCAAAAGCCCACTAGTGTACTTGGTGGACGAAGCAGGCGTGAGAACAAACTTTTCGGAGAACTTTATGCGCATGGACAGGGACATCACGTTGGACGTGCTGTACAAGGATTGTCGACACGGGGCCATGTACGTAAACGTGTGTAACGATTTGCTGTCAGATATCAAGAGCACAGTCCTAGAGACCGGTACTGAATGGAGACTTTACGACGTATCGGTGGTACAAGAGAACGTTCACGGATTCGTCAGGTATATGCAGAAAATACCACAACATCTGATTTATTATAATATTTAGTTTAACAATATATTTCTACAAGCTATCAAGCTCTGATAGACAGATGCGCCACGGCCCCCGGGGGGAAAAGTGGTGTTCTCGGAGATTCTGGATCTTTCATACAAAATAGCTTTTTGTTGTCAGCTTAAAATTATGTTATGACTTTGATAGTCATTATTACTTTACTTTTTTTATCACAATAATAATAATAATAATATTTTTTATAATTTTATTTGTATTATGTACACAAATCGCAAATTATTTTAACTTCTAACAGAAATACGGCTAGTTACGGCTAGAGAATAAGACTGATATTTACGAAAATAAAAGATTAACTTAGCATGATTTGAATTTATCAGCACACAGCTTACCACAACAGTTTTATAAATACACAAAATCGTGTAACAGACATTTTGTTGGGACATAACCTCGTTAACTGCTAATATATATAAGTAAATACTAGGTACTTACACACTAATATTTAAAAATTTTAAAACATGTATACTGTACAGGTACATAATATTATTCCAATGTATTAAAAGCTAATTAATTTTAACCCGATCGAAGTTGTCAGATAATACTATAGATAGCGTGTATAAGGTGTATATTCACGATACAGAAACCATCCACGGTCGTGTTTACATCGGAAATTCATATTGTTTTGATTAACACAGGGTAATCAAAGACGGTCGCGAAAAGTACGAAATCCGGTCCTCGGCGTCCATCGGCACGATAAATCTGTACTCGGACGCGGTAGACTGCACGGCGTCGCATGGCATCAATCATTATTTCTTCGTCAAAAAGAACAAGAGCCGCATTCATTATGAGGTGCGCAACAAGTTCATGGTGCGGTACGGTGGCTATCATACCGGTTTCAACGAGTGCAACGAATTTTCGTTTTTCTGATGGCCCGTCATCTCGTGCACACACGCGACACGTATAATATATCGTTATGTATAAAATAACTGTTACATTTAAATTCACTAGGCACCTTGCAGAGGTGCTATATATATTATTATAGATGTGAAATGTGCAACACACATACGCTGATAAGTAGGTTTTATTCCGAATATGATAATTATATTAATGTTGCAGACTAGTCGTGGCGTTTTGTGATGTTCTTGCATGTGTAAATTACCTGTATATACCTATAATACAAATTTTGGATACGTGTTTGACGTCTATATAACATTATTTATTGTAAATTCTATACAAATATAAAATGAAATAATTTTTAAAATATTTATCTACATCAATTATAAAATTAGTTTTCAGCTATAACAAAAATGACATAAATTATTGGGAAAAATAATATGGAATATTCTTCAARTTTACAAAATCGTAAAAATTTTAATRCATAGATGTTTAAATACTTATTACACAAACGATTACGCAAATTCCATACATAATATTATATTATATTAGATGTGAGCTGGTGCGCAACAAGTTTAGGTATGGTGCTCGGCGGCTATCACACCGGATTTAGTGAGTGCGACGAATAGTGTTTTGTTTTTTATGGTCGGTCATTTCATGATTATAATATCAATTGCACACATGCGCACGCGATTGCGCATTGCCGTTAAAAATATAAATTCTATATGGTGGRCGGATTGCGCCACTGTTGTATTTCCGCCATCCATATTTCCTTCATTACCGGAAAATTTTCCTAAAATAATTTTTTCATCCCGAACAAAAACAAACTTCATTTTATACTACTACTTTTGGCTGAAACTGGTCTAAAATAAAAATAATTATTTAACATCCAGAAGAAAAATAGCAAATTAATATCTGAGAAATCTTKCAATAGCAAAGCATTGCCGGGTCAGCTAGTATATATATAATTTATATAATTTGTTATTTATTATATATATATATATATATTCAAAAATGAGAAAATTAAAAAAATAAATATTATTTGTTTGAATATGAGACGATTTTTGGACATTATTAACCAAACGTCTTGTGCAAGAACACTGCACACATTTATTTTATTTTAAGAGCGGATGTTTAAATGAATCAGGAGAAATTAATGAATGCGAGTAAAAATATGGGTCTAGAAGTAAATCCGGAAAACACAAAATACATGGTAGTAAAAAGAGGAACAGAGGATAGTTCCAACCTTAAAATAGAAAATAATGAATTCGAACAAGTTAAAGAATTTAATAAAAATATTATGCAGGAAGAAATAAATGTGTGGCTGAGTGCAGCTAACCGGTGTTATTTCGCAATGGAGACCCTCTCTAAATCAAAAACGCTATCGAAAAAAATCCAAAGAAAAACTTTATGTAAGTTACATAAAACCAGTACTGACTTATGCATGTGCCATATGGTCTACAACTAAAGGTGACGAAGAAAAACTAAGATTTGAAAGGAAAATCCTAAGAAGATTTGAAAGGAAAATCCTAAGAAGAATACATGGTTCAGTATTTAATATCGGAACACAACAATGAGAATTGAGATCGAATGCCCATTTATAAAACTTATACAAAAAGGAAAATATTGTGAAATTTATTAAAAGTATAAGAATGCAATGGGCCGGACATGCGTGGTAAGCAGACGGATGCCTAATAAAAGAAGTAATAACTTGGACGTTTGCGGGGAGGAAACCAAGGGGAAGACCACGAAGAAGATGGATAAACAGCATAAAAGAGATATTCAATGCGACAGCCCATGATGGGACGGATTGGCAAGTTATAGTGTATGATAGAGAGAAATGGGAAGAGATAGTTTTGGTGGTAAAGATCCTTAATGGATTGTAAAGCCGGAAAAAAAAAGATAAAATAGAAATATTTTTTGGACAAAAAACGAAAATAATTATCGAAAATATTACCATTCAAATAATATATAATATATTGTGGGTAAACAAATAATATGATCATCAATATTTTTTTTAGAGTAAATTTTATTAACATTAATAACTGTGACGGCTAACTAAAGTATTCATAAAATAAATTACCTACGATGAATAGACAATTATAATATAGTAATAATAATAATAATAATAATAATAATAATAATAGTTATGTATTATGATAATATTAATATAAAAAAAACAATATATAATAAGTAAAAACCTATAGCAAGTACCTCAGCGAAGAGCAGTCGTGTAATGCAAGTGAAGCAAATAATATTGCCTATACGAGTATACGCGTAAAGCGYCATAAAAATTTTTCTAGTGATTCAAATAATATGTTTGCTCTAATARTAAAAAAATTACTTGATGAACCAATGAAATGTTACCTAAAAAACCTATCTAAAATTGTTGCGTATTTAAAAATAAGTATTTTTTCGATAAAAATAATAATTACATTTTCATTATATTCACGATGTGCTTTTGACTGAGACACCAGGTGTCCACCTTAACAAAACTAAAGTAATAGTTACGAAAAATAATTGATTGTGGAAAATATTAAATAAGTAAATATAAAATGATCACACGGATGCATGACGTCGAAGACTGCATCGCTTAAATCCGATATTGTGTCTATATAATAGTATAGTTTATATTATTTAACGCGTGCCACTTAAATTGGGCTTTATGTATTCAATTACAATGGAAGCTTCAATTTCGATAGAGACGATAACTAAAAAAAAACGTGAAAACAAATATGCGTAAGTTTAATTCAAACTGTGTACTTATGTATTATTATATATTCTTACCTACTACCGAGAAAAAATCTAACTCTAAAAATAAAAATTGCGCGAGTAAACTTAGAGCCATAGCAAAATGGCTTGTGCAGTTTTAAGTTTTAATTCTAAAAGTTAATAAATAATATTAATATAGGTAATATATCGACAGTTAAAAACACACAAAAATAAAATTACATTCGATTACAATTAGATAGGAGATGAAGGATAATACAACATAATATTACTATGATCATAATAATATTTGGTATATCATATTAGGTATACGTTAACGGGCTCGGTGGAACTCGAATAGGAGGTAYATGATAATATTATTATTTCGTCACATTTACAGGTAACGTTTGTGACGTGGACGATCTGATATTTTGGACGTATTGGATAAAAATAATACATAATAATAATTTGTAGGTATAGATCTATATAAATCATATGGATGGACGGATGGATCATGGATGGAATCGACATCAGTGACAGAAAGCTTCATTTTTGAACACGTTTTGTCCGGCCGACGAGTACGCGATGCTGCGCAGGCTCCTGGATCGCTCGAATAGCGACGGATCTGTGTAAATCGGTTCACTTGGGTCTTCGAATCCTTTGCCACTGCCTCCACTGCCTCCACCTCCCACAACCATTGCCGTGGGATTAGCCGATCCCGTTTCCATCGATTCTACGGGAGCTCTGCGTGGCGAGAAGATTGAAAATAAAAATTAAAAAGTTTTTTTTTTTAAACGTTTTCAAAATGAGACTATATAGGCATAAAAAATACAATTTTAAAAATAGAACATGGTACACATATTTTTCTTCTTAAGTTTTTTTACAGACGAAGAACTATCTTTTAATAAAAAAAAAGTCACGCTATAGAGAGTAGACATATTGAATTATTGATTCGATTTTTATGGATATTATGTGTGTGTATAACTACAGACTGCATCAGTTAAAAACGTGTTGCAAAGTACCTAATAATCTTGATGTATTATATAAAAGAAACTAGTCGCGAATATTATTATATAATATGTTAAGTTTTTAAATATTTTAGATTATACCAAATACGCTGCCTGTCGTATAAAAATAAATAAACTTTGCACACGATTTCCCTTCACCCGATTAGTTTAATAGTATTATGCACTAAAGTTGGTATTTAATATTATTGCATGACCAGCAGAGATGCAAGCAAATATTTCTCCTTTAATTTATAACATATGTAAATACCAACCGAATGTTCAGGAACGGTTTGCGTTTTCCAAACGACATATTCGAGAAGAAGCTACGGCCCGAAAACGACATCCTTCCTGTTGATCCACTACTACAGTTGGCCGTGCTGCCCAGACAACTGTTGTTCGCCAATTCATTTTTAGTCGCTAACAGCCAATAACGCCTGTGAAAACAAAAGCACGTGTCACTCATGAGATAATAATAATACACGATAACATTTTACACATATTAGTGTCTTGACTATGATTTCCTTCTCTGATTCAATAGGATACATATTATATAATTGTATGACTAAAACTATTCTCAATTATTGAGTTAATTAAATGAAATATACTTTGTTCATATCATTGAATCATTGAATCTTGAATGGTTAATCATCTTCTGGAGTGACAACTTAGTCTTTAAATTTTTCTTGTAATAATTATAATTTGAGGCTGATTTTAAATATTTTAGACAACATTTTCACAAGTAATATATACGTTATATTATACGATATTAAAAATAACTAATTTATTTAAAATTATTTAAAAATTTACTTCATTTTTCTATCCAACAAAAATAATACCAGTTTACTTATTACTTATTACCTCAATTGTCTGAAAAATCTATTTCCTGCGAGCAGGCATGTGATCGAAACTTAAAGTAGACACCTATGTGAGCTATGAAATATTCATTAGTTTTTGGCAATATGTTTTAGGATGTGGTAAATTGGGCGTGGAGAGCAAGGTTCTCACAGTTTTATTTGGTGTAATTATGCTAGGGAAGACTTATATTATTATCGAGTATTGGCGAAATGATAATTAAACAATTATCGCAATCAGTATAATAAACTCACTTATAGTATATTCCAGCTGACATGGATACGGTGATCAAGAGTACCAAAAACATGAACAGCGAGAATACCATACTGTAATATTCCCTGCTGGTCAAACAGACGCTCTGAGGTGCTGGTTCTGATGTCAGAAGTTGTTCCATAGGCATGTCGTATCGACTTTCATACACCTGGAAAATAGAATCATTGTTTAAAAGTGTATTATAGCTAACAGTTATAACAGTTTCTCTAAAATTACCTCAATAACTTGCCGCACTTTCTCTTCTTCACCTGGTGTAGTTTCTGCTGATTCTTTTTGTTTATCAACTGCCGTTTCGTTTTTATCGATACCCCCTACGTCCCTACGACGTCTGCCCAACGAAGGTTCCGTTCTACCGGCGTGCAATGTACAATACGCCTGTAGAGATAAAAATAACGTAGTGTTATCATTACGTCAATTTCAGTAAAACTTAAATATTATTACCGGTTGACACCCATCTCGACATGTCCTGACGGTCGCTTCAAACACCAAGAAATTCGATTCTGGGATTTTAAAAGCGTTAAATCTCGCTTCTAGCCCATCACCCTCCCGAGCCTTATCTAGCCCGGGGAATACAAAGTTATCCACGGGACATCTAAGAATAAAGATTGGAAACAATTATATCGTGTTTATTGAAATTTGTACACTAAATGATTTTACTAACGCTGTCGAAATGAAAACTTTCCATAACGAACTGTATAAAACTTACCCGTAACGATCTATCAATTGCACACTTCTACCACTGTACGGATCCCTAGCAATGACGTTGGTGGCAAAAATGTCACTTGCGTAGTTATATCCATCTTGAGCTTCTAGTCGGAATGTCAACGGGTCTCCCACGGCAATAGTTTGCGTAGGTCGGCCTTGGAACAGTATCATTAGTCGCACACGCGAACTCAGCGAATTCTCCGCTGGTAAGTATTCGATAGGAATCGGGCTTCCAGAACTGTAAGTGCAAATCAATTGTTAATCCCGCAAAGTAAAAATCCGATAAAGATAATCATAATAATTATATTATGTAGATATACTTACTTTGCGGTCATGTAGCTCGAAGTGACGACAGCTTCCCCTGGGCCTCGAAATAAACATGTCAGGTTGTATCGCTTGTCTCGGCTGGTTTGTACGTAATCGCTGAATTGTACCACTACTATGTTAGTCATCGTGTCTCCATACTAACGTCAACAATCATAATAAACGCAACGTAAGTGTTTTGTTGAAAATATAATTTTAAAGAACAAGATGAATTGTTAAATTGTATTATTGTAGGTACCTGTTTTGATTAAAATTCACCAAATGCATTTATTATTAATATATCAATAAATCGTATAAAGTGTATTGTATTTAATGTTATAACTTAAATGAAAACATTATAGTTAAACTTTATCAATTAGCATTAATATTTATTTTAAAATTTATAATTTATACGCTGTAAATAGCAATTATAATTATTATAGTTGTATTGTCATTGTTTTAATTATGCTTAATACTTTAGTGTTCACCTGTGTTCGAAAACCCTCACTCACTCTTTAGGTTTTTGGTATAGGTAAGATTAGTTATTAATGAGTTATTGCTTATAAGTTATAATTAAGCGTAATCTAAATGATCACAATAATATTACCCGTTGAGTTCCACAATCTGGATATCCCTGAGCGCCACTAATCCGTAAAACATTTGCGGTTCCACCATTACCCCTGTAGAAACATCTGTCGTAAAATCCATGCGTGTATATTCGCCCTAAGAATCCTTCCGGCGTACGCAACGTAAATTCCATTCCGTCTTCACTGCACACCTGGGTCACTAGAAATCGTATAGGAAAACGAATGAATATCGCGAACTAAGTGAATTGACTCGAAGAAAATTTGTTATTTTTTCCAGATGTAAATAAAATACGTACCGTCCAAACACTCTTGACTGCTTCTACTGCCCATAGCAGACTTTTCGTAAAAATCGTATTCTGGTGCGTTTTCGAAAAATGCCGGATTTCCCATGTCAACAAATCGTGTTTCCTGATCACTCAACTCACAATTTTCTCTTTGAGTCCCATATGGTGCGGTTCTATAAATTACAATAGAAAATTAATAACCTATTTACAAAATGCAATACAAAACTATTTTCTAATATCGAATATTCCGGTCTAATGGTTTTATTGAAATATATTGACAGTTTTTTATATTATATTATGGTGCACTATTATATTTTATTTACTTATTTTTTTTTTTTAACATTTTAACAAGTTTAATTGGATCAATAGAAATCGTTGAATTTAATAAATAAAAACCACGTAGCTCACCTGTAATTGAATGATCGACAGTTGAAGTCTCTGACCATCGAGCATTCACGTTCACAATGTGATAATGTAGGTGCAGTTATGAAACGCTTAATCAGTCCTCTTGCCATTCGCATTCGCACACCCATCTATTATGTATCAGAAAATATATTAAAACGAATTCAATTTAAACTTTATATACAATATACATATATATATAATATTGAAATGTAACCTGTTTAAATCCATCAGATTCGTCGCATCTTATATTGAATGGTCTATTAGCATCGATTCCATTTCCACCAATACCACCAATTCCACCAATACCACCGACACCTCCACCATAATATCCTGGCACAGATGGTATACCTAAAGGAGGTCCAAGAGGTGGTCCTCCTATGGGTGGTAGTCCACCTGGTAAAGCCGAAGGTGTGTAGGGTGGTATTGACGATCCAATAACAGCTGGTGTTGATCCAAATCCGTAATTATTAACACCTATTCCTCCAGCTCCTTGTCCCAAAAAAGGAGGTATGTCTGCTCCATGACCTCCAACATGTCCCCAATATCCTCCAGGAGCTTCACTGGGATAGGGTCCAATACTTGAACTTAAGCTTCCTCCTCCACTACTACCTCCTCCACCTATTCCACTTCCAGCAGTACTAGAATAACCAGGATACGATCCTCCTCCATAAACACCACCAAATCCACCTCCTGTTATTAAAGGCATAATAATTTCATATTAAATTAACATAACTATATTTGACATAAAACTCACCTATTGGTTTCCCAGGTGTTGGATAAGGTGGTTTACCACTGCCTAAGAAATTCGACCCTTGTCCTAAAGGATCAGGTCTTGTGAATGGTGGTGAAGTAGCACCTCCGTCTAGAAATAAATGTTAGTACGTTTTTTCATATAAAACATATGCACACAAAGAATATTATTTATTTATTTTTAAATGCTGCTGAACTATACGTCTATAAATTTACAAATTAAGTAATATTTTAATTTTTAATTTTATAAACTAATTGCACTCACTCATTAAGTTTTCGTAGTAATCATAATCTGCATCGTATATCACACGGTGACCATCTCTCTGGTTAAAACGGCTGAGMCGACAAATTCTAAAACGTTCGCTATAGACAGCCGACCGACATTGGAAGCTCACTTGTCGCAGACATTCATCCAGACATTCACTCAACGACCGTCCAGTGATTTCAGAATGAAATTCGCCACCGAGCCTACTGTTCCTGTACCGTTGAAATGCTGTGTCTGGTCTTCGTCCGTCAGCAAAAAGGTGTGACGTCAACGTGTTGTCCGAAAACTCGTTGCCCTTGGCTGTAAGCAAATCACCACCTGATATTTCGTTAGAGATTTGCACACACACTTTGGGTAGGTGATATATTATGAAAAAATGGGGGGTCTTAAACAAATCATAAACACTTACGGTTGTCTAAACAGACTAGGTCATATAGATCATGAGTCGGACTACTGCTCACTCTTAGGTCATCTTTCTGTGACATCGAATCCTCTTCAAAAATAATGCACCGACGAATTTGCTCGTCATACTCAACTGACCGACAGAAATATCTAAAAATCGATAAAACAAACAATTTATTGTTGCATTTGATTTTTAATTTAATAGGTAATAAAATCATTTTTTTTTCACTTTTCAGCTCGTAAACATTGTGCTTGACATTCGATCAACGATAGGTTGGCAAATATGTCCACTTCAAAAGGACCACCCAACCGCTTATTTTCTTCTTTTACAAAAATAACTGGTCCATCACAACGTCTTTCAACTGCGAATACACAAATATCATTGTACTATGATTTCATAAAAAATATTACAGCTATAGTTATAATCAAATTATTTGTTAGAACATTTCGCTTATTACCATTGAGACATGTGTTTTCTAAATAATCGGAACTAGGATCTTCTTCTAACAATTCCGGATGTGATCTTCTGGTGAACCGGCTTAGCCAACATGTCTTGGAGGCCGAGTCGTAAGTAGCCGATCGGCAAACAAACGTAAATTCATTCAAACACTTATCTTCGCAATCTGTCCGATTGGCTGCAATCATTTCCTTGTATTCACTAGATGGTAACTTAAGTTTCTTCCTGGTGTGTCTTTCGAAAACATAATGTCTATTCGGGCATTCTCTTTCAATTCTACTAGCTGTAAATCAAAAACGTAACATCAACATTTTTGAAATTGATTAGTGCATTCAAGGACTTGAGTTGTGTGCAAGAGCACACACTTTGTGAAGTATGAAATGTTGAGTGATTAGTAGTAGTAATTGTAGTAAATTGTGTTTAATATTTAAAATGTACTATTAATATTAATAAAAAATGTACAACATAACGTAGGTAAGTTAGGTTACTTGGTTAATTTTTAACATTTTGATTTTATTTTAAAATGAATAGTGCGTCTATTGATAAATTATAATGTTTATTTATGATGTTTGTGGCTAAATTAATTGGAATAAGCAATTAATGTACCTAATACTATAAAATAAGCAGAGCTTAATTATTTTAGTCGGGGGAGGCTCAAGTATAAGATATAAATAAAATTAAAAAATTCATTTTTAAACTTACATTTGGTCTTTTCTAAAATCCTAGTGAGGACCACTGGTCTATAGGTTACTAATCATGTTTGATGTAACGTAAAAAAAATAAACTAGGATATCACATATTATAGATACTAAAACCCTAGTTGAAATTCAGATTAAACTTTTTTTGTAAAATTATTCAACTAACAGCTACTTCATCATTTGGTATTCGGTAAAGAATTATTYATCCATAATTAAGATTTTCAAGATAAATTTTATCATGATAATAATGAGTATGGAAATCGTTTAACTTGAAAAAGTACTCTAATATAATATATAATTAAGAACTTGCATTCAAATTTGTAGTACCCATATTTATTTGAATATGTGTTATAGCTTATAAGTTATGAGCAAACTTATTGCCACTTATCTGTAACCAGATTTAATAACTAGCATAAAAAAAATTGTGTTGTGATGACCTTTAAGTAGTACCTATATTTTTAATAATGATAAAAAACTGTAGATACAAAACTATGGTATATATTTTGGAGGAAGACTAATTGAAAACTCAGGGGAGTCTTAGCTCCTCCAAGCCCCCTAGCTCTATCAATACACTATAATATAGCTTTTGGTAGTAAATTCAATAACGATGAATAAAGTTAGTATAAATGCACTACTAATAACTACTCAATATCATGATAAGTGGCTTTTACCATTTACATGCATCTATTCGATATTGATTTATGTATTTAGATATATTTTTAATATGACAACTTTTTTTATTTCATTAAAATTTAAATGAAAAAGTAGGTACTTAGCTATATTTATAATTTATATTAATTATGTTTTTCGACTAGTTTTTCCTAAAACGTCTGAAAAAAGGAATGTTGAAACATTTKATGCCATTAAAACAAAAAAAAAGCATACCCAATGGGTTTTTAAATTCCAAGTATTTCTTAAATGTTATTTCCACTATTTAATATGAAATAGTTTTTTTTTWAATTTTTATTGAGAATAATATACAATCTATACACAAAGGCATAATATTAATATGTTCTACAATATTAATAATAACATGAATACGATAAGGGATGAAACCATCCAATGATCAAATTTCCTCAATATTAAATATAAATTTAATAATATAGGTAATTATGAATGAAAATAAAGAGATAAATAATTTAAAATGTTTAATGTAAATTAGAATTTATTATCATGACAATCAGTAAATAGCATTGATTTATATCAATTAATAAATACATTTTGGTTTTTATATTTAGTGTTGTATTTTTAAAAAATAATAAAATGCAAATTTTTTAATATATGAGAGAAAAAACGAATAATTTCTTATTATATTAGCTTAAAACTCCTAGATCTGACTATATAACTGTCAATATAATATGGGGCACTTAGCCTATTATTTTATTGAATATTGAAATAAATAAAAATGATAAGTAAAAAAGCGTGTAAGTTAGTGTAAAAACATAAAAGTTAATGAAATAATATACTCGATATTGATTGTAAACATCTCAAATAGATTCATATTTTTCAATTTTAGATTTTTCTAAAATCTAAAAATGGGCGCCTTCGTAATGGTAGTGAAAAGACTTATAATTTATCGGAAAAAAAAAATCATCACGATATTACAAAACGATTAAGAAACAATAATATATAACTATATAATATTATATAATTATATAACTTATCATTGAATGTTTTAAGATAAATTCATATATTTGTTTTACATAATAAAAATTTCTGGTTTGTACCTATATCCTCAAAAAAAATGATATAATTTGAGTTATTTATATTGAGATAGTATTAAAAATCTCAAATTTTGATGGTTGAGTAGGTCACGTGCAGTATCTAAAATATCTAAAAGTATATAAAAATATAAAGAATAACAGTTCTCTTTAGCATCGAACTTTTTTATTCTATTTTTGTATYATGGAAGTGAATATGCAGAAATGAGATGACATAATAATTCTCAACGGCTAAAATATGTATTATTTAGTGTGTTCAGCGTGTTTAAATTTTTTTGTATGCAACTGCAATCGTTCATTTTGTTCTACACGAATACTACCTATACCCATTAGACGTATCTTCAAACAATTATTTTATTCAATTAAAATTATATAATTATGAATCCTAATTATTATTTTGTTAAAAAAAAAAAAAATGACTTTACATGCATATTCGAAAATAACGWACTAAATTGAACTTCCCAACAATTTTAATCGCGATCGGTATCACATAAGGTCATTAACCTCATGTCGATCATATAACGCAACATTATGGTTGGATGCACAYAGTGTGTTTGACCGGGGGTGATTATTATTGTCTACAACAAAGATAATTTGTACGTTGATTGAGGCTAATGTAAAAAATAAAACTTTTGGAATACAATAGGATATCAGAGGATCCAAGTGCATATTATGATATATTATTGCATGTAATCTAATTACGTTCATATTAAAATTTCTGTGGAAAATAATATTATATTTTATTGTAATAATATAATGTATGTATAAATTGATATGTACCTAATAAATCATCTCTGCAATGGGTTTTTGTTATTTTTTTTATAAAAGTTAAAAATTTACTGTAAGTCTTATATGTGAGTATGAAATAAAAATAACAATAATAGCTATAAAAAAATAGCTATTATTGTTATTTTATAAATATTTTATAAATATTTTATTTTATAAATACCTGAMTTCGTAAAAAAACAAACGTAGGTAATATCAAGACTTCATATTAACAAGACTATAAAATAAATGGTCAAATAAAATACTCGTAGGTAGGAACACAATATTTTAATATTATATTGTTTAAAAGCTTAGTATTTTAGAAAAATTTGACTTCCTAATAAAATTATCTGTTTTATTTATTAAACGAGTAACTCGTATCGGTATTAAAATTTTGAAACAACACAATGTATTGTATAATATGTATTTTAAATGTATAGCTTTGTTATTTGTGTAAGTGTATCAATGATTTCAAGAGTGTAAGATTTGAACTTTGCTACGAATATTAAAGCATTAGGCATTCYTTTTAAATAAGTTTAAAATTAACGTTATTCTATCGTCAAATTGTTTAACGATATCAACTAGACTGACTTTAGTACATCTACATTCAGTGGTGAGCGGAAAGGCTCAATATCAACAAAATTGAATACATTTTTCAAAGAGTAGTGTCAGTACCACCGAAATCTATGTTAAGATCTGCCCTCCACCTCAACCTTTTTCAACCATATTTTATTAACATCATAACTTTGTTACAAGTAAAATGTGTATATAGATGAGTTGGTGGTAAATAATTAAAAAAGAAATTCCGTCATTTAAAATTTAAGTTCAGTCTGCCACTGCCTTAATGATGTTAAAATATAAATGCGAATGAAAAATATTTAAAGTGGATGATTATTATTGATTAATCAGTAACTTTACAGTTAACAATATTTTAAAATTTACCAATTAATTCTTAAAATTAACAAAAAATATTAAAAGTGGCTTTAAAAATACTCCTCTAGGTATAACTTTAATTTCTTGAAAAATTTTAAGTGTGTTTTACTTTAATTTTTAATTTTTAAATCTAAATCGAGTCCTTCCAGGATGATAAGTAACTTAATAATATTGGCTTACGATTTACGGCAAAAATAAATAATTATGTATTTCGTATCATATTTTAAAGTCAAATTTAAAATAATATTATTAAATGCTAACATTTTCATCTAATTAAATGTGTGTTTTAGGAAATACAGTGTGAATGAAAAAAATTACAATAACAAAATAAAATGTCAACAAATACTTCATATTTTCAAAGTGTACTGCATCTGCTAATTTGACATATTATTGTCTTCAAATATTTAAAGATTTATAAATGATTTTAATATTTAAACATCTATACTATTTTTTATAAATCAGAAAATATTAATATCACAATATTAAAATTGTAAGTGTAAACTGAAATTGTTTTATACAATTATGTCGACATATATTTTTATTGGAACAATTAAAACTGTAACAATCAATATGATATTAACCTAACGATATTATAATACAGAATCGATCATTGGTGATAAGTAAACTTGTACAATATCTATCGATTAATTATAATCGAAAAAACGTAAACATCGACGTATCTAATTAGCCTCGATAGGTGACATTTATTTATWCATTATTATTGTATAACTATACGTAACGTCGTCCTCCACTATTGATATGAGAGCCTTGATTATATAGTATTCGCATGGAGCTTAAAACAGTACACTAAATTAATTATAAGCAACAGGTATAACACATACCCAGTGAAGTATAATATAATACATTATTAAAGATTTATTTTCTTATTTTAAGTTCAATAATAGATGAGTGAAAATTAATTGATAACTCAAAACCAAAAGGGTCATGAAACAATAAGTCATAGGTAAGGTATATTATGTAGTTAAAAGAGCTTATTATTATATAAAATCATTATTATGTCGCGTATTACCCGTTAATGGCTTATATATATATATATATATAATATTATAAATATTTATTTATACTAAACATATTTATTTGATTAATTGAACTTAAATCTGCTGCCAATATCATACAGTGAAACCTCCCTAACAGACAACCATAATCCAGACACCTCCAAATATTGGACGTTTTTTATTAGGGCAGACTGAACCCCCTGAAAGCCGATACTTCCAATTACAATAACACACAGTGTCCCGTATTTAGAAGTTTAAGTATATTATGTAATTGTGGGGGAATTTTCAATTTTCATGGACATAATACACCAAGGGATTTTGATAGGTAGGTATATATTATTTACGTATAGACTCATGAAAATATTAAATCGGTGKTGTGATACTGTATAGTATAGTAAGCTGCAAACAAAAAGTAAAAATTGTCTACTATCGGTTTTTACACTGATTATTGTCACGTTAAACGTATGAAAATGTTATTGAAAATATAAATTCAAGAGATGTTTAGTCACATTTACAATATGGTAAATTAACGATCAGAGAGTTTTTTTTTTCCATACCGTGTCTATAATATATATTTACATTGTTATAATGTGTACACTATAATTCATAAGTCTTATARTATCTGACCAATGATAAGTTATGATTGTGTAAAAAAATAAATAATCTATTGAGCTAATAGGGACCTAAAAATTAAATAGCAAGTTCAGATATTGGTATCACAAAAACCTGTCAGCAACTAATGAAACGTAATAAAAATATTAAAATTGTTCTTTTCCTGTAAATATACAATTGATATTATATTATACAATACAATATGTGGGATGGATATAATTCTTGTGATTTTATTTTATTTTATTCATTCTCAAAGACACTATTTATTTATTTATTTATTTATTTATTTATTTAATTAAGATGCGCATTAAGTGATTTTAAATACAAAATTCAAATGGAATAGGATTTCTAAGCAAGTTAAATTAATACGAGTATATATAATTTTTTAATTTTCACATTTTAATAAATTCTGTCAAACAAAAATAACTTTCACATTTTCATGCGGATAACTTTTCTGTATGATGAATTATCAACAATTAATTTATTGTAACCTTGTGAATATATTTGACATATATGTAAAACAAAATAATTAACTAATTTTGAATACATTCCTATTCACACCACATAGTTAATTCCATTACAAAATAAAATAAATATATATCAAAATAGCCGTTGCTATTGTCTCAAAAAATAATTGTCATCATTGGAATTAACAATAGAAACCCGTTATACATAAAATAATGACAGTTCTCCATACTTAACTATGATTTATTTTATATTTTCATTACATCTTGAATGGGCATTTTATTATATTATAAGTAGGGTCAAAACTTGTGTGTGCTTGCAAATTTGTATTGATTAGTTCAAAAAATAGCTACCTAGTTTATACCAACATTTATTTCAAAACCTAACGATACTATTTAGCGTATTTCTGCATATTTTTATATTTTTGCAGTATATTTAGGATTTTAAAGACTCGGGAATCACAAAAAATGCATATTTTTCACTTATATAGTATAAATGAGCTAATCATTTAATTAAAAATAGAATATTACCTACAATTACATTTTTTTAGAACATATTTAAAAAATATATYTTGGTAATTTAAAAGCTTGTCTATGAGGACCCATTATTTTCTCTAAAAATATCTAAGAATAATCTGATTGAAAATAATAAAAGATACGTTTAAGTATATAGTTCACAGATATTTGTGCATTATATATGATTTATGATTAGCATTAAATCATTACCTATTTGTATATGTTTTAATTTATATTTCAACATATTTAATTGTCTTTAAATTTCACGGATTGTTTTACTAATAATAATACAATAAAATTTCTGAAAAGTAAAAGCAAATCATTGGATGGGTAGATTTATATTATTTTAAATAAATAATATGGTTCTTCCTGATGAAACTTATGTCTAGCCAATGTTTCTTGTTTATTTTTGTTATCATTTAATACTATAGATATATCATAATGTTAATTTTGTAAATAGTTTAAAAAAAAATTAGCCTGTAACACTATATTAAATAAMTATTACAATATTCAGATTGAACGGTCATAACGTTATAAGTAGGTACCTATTTATGAAACTTCGGAACTCACGTTTTGGAGTTATGTGTAAGACATTACTTAACGGTAATAAAATGAAATAAACATAATATCCGCTGTGTACTTACACGACAGACAGACTTCGGTATAGTGCACACTGTTCGGCACCAGTACCAGCACGCCAATGCCTTCGGGGTGCGCCTGTTCCCTGGTTAAATAGCACGTGGACTCTTCGTACTCGACAGTGCCACTGAACGACGCGATCCTGCTACCCGGCTGGAAGTCGAATGAAGTGCACGTCCTTACCAGGTTGTTGGTGGCCGTGCGGTCACGAAGGCATAGCTCTTGGCACTTTTCCAGTACCCGAAATGGTGGAGCTGTGTCACGCACCTRCACAATATTTATACATTAAAAGAATCCACGAAAAAAATATCATGGCATGTTAAAAGGCTGAGTTTAAAATGTTGGCGTGTCTCTAAAAATTCAATCGAGATTACAAAGATTTTCACGATAAAGTTATGAAATATCTATTATTAAGATCCTTCTATCACGGTATTCACAAGTAATGCACACAGGGTAAAAACCTCTGTGGAGCTGTAGTAAGTTTTGGGATYGGTCACCTGAAGTTCTGGAAAGTGTTGTAGGTATCAGATACTCAAATTTCTGGCTTTAATTTGAACTGTGAAATTAGAATACAAAACATTTAAAATCTTAACTAGTATATTTAGGCATTTATTTATGTTAAAACGCAGTAGGTGTGAATCATTTTTTTTTAGATAAATAATTTARATGTTAAAAAATAATGTGATTTAAATAATTCTTACAAGTACGTTTAAAAGTAAATGTACGTCGTATTATATCCGTTACCCAGCAATGCTATTTTAGTAACTTTTAAAGACGTTTCCGTTTAAAATATATTAATATTACATATCCATTGAAATATGTTATAAAAATTACAATATCAATCAGATTCTAGTCGTTTCCATTTCAAATTATTATGACAATTTTAGTATATTAATTATATACCTAACAAACTATATCTGTGGTGTAATAATCAAAGAGTGAAATTTTAGAATATTTTTCAAGTTTCCTAGCTACAATAATATTACACGTATAAAATATATTGATGGCAGCAAATTCAACGATTTTTTTTCCTACTAAAAAAAATTCACTGGACACTGAATATCATTTATTCCAATGAATATAAAAAATACTTAAAACATAATTAAAAATAAATATATTGCCATGTGACTTATGTATTTTAAAAGATTCCGGAGCTTCGAAATAAACTAATATCATTATTYTTAAACTTCTGAATAATTTATTATTGTTTTTATTTTTAAATGCAAACATTTCTTTCGTAATAATCTTCACATGATATTTAAAAAATAAAATAAATAATGAATTATAAATGTATTGTAATTACGTTTGTAATAATCATTTTTGAATGATAATCTTGTAAGTAAAAACCAAAATGGAACCTTTTCATATCAAGCCAACATAACCGRTATGGGTAATAGTCAATTGACTAAAAATATATACTCACTACGTCATCGTCGAATCCTTGTAACTGTTGATCTGGTAGTCTTTCGTAAACGATTCGGCCGATGCCTTGGTTGCACGTTGTTTGTGCTGAAAAATATGAATTATCGAATATATTACATTATCGTCAGCTAAATATTATTATAACCGTTTTAATTTATAGAAATGCGGATTTATTATGTGTTCTAAAATCGAAAACAACACGAAATCACGGATTTATACCGTAGTCATTATTACCGGCAGAGTATGCAGCTGAAAACACCACAACGAGACTCACCACGTACGACACGTGATGAGATTGTTTCATTTTGGTGATCGTGGTTGCTAAAGATCAAGTTATTAGATCAGATCTACCTGTATGCAGATCTGCATTGAAATTAAAGGAAATACGAAARACTAGAAGGATTCCGACGGAAAATTGTTTATAACAATGGAGAAATAGTACCACTTGACGTGACGAAATGAACTACTTTAGCTGTACGAACATTAACGATTCAGTAACATATTATGCTTAAATAAATGTAGAAATTCGTGTAGGAATGGTGCACTTTAGTAATATAATATGAAATATAAAACAGTAAATAATGTTTTCGTCGTGGTGGTGTGACGAGAACTAGTTATGGTTTGGTATATGTTTAGCCTTTCCGTCCACTATAYGAAATTGTATGAAAAGACAAATAAATGCAAATCATACATGTCAGTTATGGTGTGGATTTAAATGGGTAGGGGATTTT